TTGCTCAGTCAATCTCCTCCTTTTGGGCATTTAAGTTTTTTCTAGTGTCTTGCAACTACATGTAATACTGCAATAAATAACTAGTGCCTGGGTAGTTTTGTATGGCCAGAGGTTTCTATTGAATTTAAATTCTTTTTTTAAATTTATATATGACAGTGGAATGCATTAAAATTCATATTACACATATAGAGCACAGAGTTTTCATATCTCTGGTTGTATACAAAGTATATTTGTACCAAATCGTGTCTTCATACATGTACATTGGAGTGTGATATCCATCACATTCCACCATCATTTCTAACCTCATGCCCCCTCCTTTCCCCTCCCACCCTCTGCCCTATCTAGAGTTTGACTATTCCTTCCATGCTCCCCCTCCCTACCCCACTATGAATCAGCCTCTTTATATCAGAGAAAACATTCGGCATTTGGTTTTTTGGGATTGGCCAGGGGGATTGTTGGATCTAACGGGAAATGTATACATAGTTCTGTTAGGTATTGCCAACAGCCTCTTTAAAGTGTTGTAATATTTTTATAGTGGTGTATTTTTACCAAAAATGTATATGAATACTTGTATCCCCATGACCTCGCCAAATACGTATGTTGTTAAACTTTCACATTTTTGCTAACCTTATGGGTGAGCAATGATATCTCAGTGTAGTTTCATGTGCATTTCTCTTATAATGAGTGAAGTTGAACATCTTTTCATGTAAAAGGGTGTGATGCGAACTCTTTCCCTGGCTATATGAAAACTTTCCTTTGTAGAGTCCATTCCAATCTGACCAAATCTTATTCTTTCTCTTGGAGAGAAATCCAATTGGCTTATCTGTTTGTAAATGAGTTGCTGTCCCCGCAGCGGTGGCGCATTCAGTTCTGATCAGCTGTCTAGGCTTGTCCCTTGGTAGGGGACTGATGGCTCAGGGAATTCTCAAAAGAGGGTGTGGCTTGAACAGTCTGATAGCGTTTGAGTGAAATGATGCTGTACTAAGGCTGTTATCTGTCAATGACTTCATTCAGTAGATACTGTTGAATACCTACTATGTGTAAAGTACTGATAGAGGTCCCAAGGAAGAAGCATTTTTTAAAATTAAAAACTTATGATGGTGCTGGAGTGTTGCTCAGTGGTAGAGTTTGCCTAGCAAGACTAGAAAGAAAAGATAAAAACATTATGGGAACATTTCAAACATATACCTGAGTAAGTAGGTAAGTAAGTAAATAAATAAATAAATAAACGGAAATTCCATGGACCCAAGCATAATAATTACTCATTTTCATTTTTTTAATCTTTGTGCCACATGCCTCCCTTACCTTTTGATTTTATCCGTAAATATTATAGCATAAATCTAAAAAAATGACATAATTATAATATCATTTTCAAATCTTAAAAATTAACAATAGTTGCTTAATATCAATTATTCACTTAATTCAGGTTTTCATGTTTGTTTTTACAGTTTGTTCAAATAAAATATCCAAGTAAACTTCATATATTGCAATTGATTAACATGTCTCTAAAGTTCTTTCAACCTATAGCTTCTCTCCTGTCTTTCTCTTTCCCCTACAATTTGTATATTGGGGAAACCAGTTCATTAGTCCTACTAGGATTTTGCTGATTGCACCTGTGTTAGTATTTATAATATTCCTCCATTCCTTGTATTTCTTATCAGTTCATATTTGACTTGGTGGGGGTAAGGACTCTTCCAGACAGACAAAACATGTATAGTTGTCTGTCCTTTCAGGATGTCAGCTGCATGTTCAATCTATTACTAACTCTTTTGGGGATACAAAATGGTATATTTTAAACCTATCATTCCTTCTTTCTTAGATGGCATATTTCCATAAAGAGAAACTTCTCATTACCATTTGGTTATTCATATTCAGGTTCCCATAGACAAGACAGGATAAAAGCTTGAATCTTTTTTTTTTTTTAACCCGTTTTCAAAACAAACATTGGTTCCTTAGCACGGAAAATATAAATTGAGTCAGATCTTCCCATCTAGTAGGAGTTAAGACAGGTAGGCAGACGGGATGAGAGAAGCCATCGTTCCTAAGAGGCAGAGCTGGGTTCGGAGTCAGTCCTTCCACCTGAAGGTGGTAGCACTTGAGCTGTGCCTTGAAGGACAGAGTGGTTCCCCAACATCAGTTTAGTTCTCACCACAATCCCCCCTTTTTTCATTTGGGATCTAACTGTGTGGCCCAGGTGAGTCTCGAACTCCTGGATCAGGTGATTCTCACACCTCATTCTCCTGCACAGCTTGGGAGTACCACCTACCCAGCCTATTCTCCCTCCTTCGTTGCTTACATTATTGGTCTTCTGGAAATAAGATGATTCTTTTTATTCTCCCTTCCACTTTAGTGTGGCCATATGACTCAGTTCTGCTATGAGAAGAAGCCATTTGTTCAATTCCCAGGTTGTATCTTTAAAGAGAGTGGGCAGGCCCTTCCCTCCCCTTCGCCCGACCTACTGCTTACAAAGCAGATGTTGTGCACCATCTTGGAACATGGCACGAGGCAGCACCCTGAAGATGACAGAGCAACAGATAGAAGGAAACTGCTGGGTTCCCGACGTCTCCTTACAGCCACCAATACCAGCCCTGGACTGCTACCCAAACCACTATAAGAACAAGGAGTAAACCTCTTCTCTGGGAAGCAGCGCTGGGGAAGGGTGTGCTGTCTGGATCCTCCGTGCAAGAAGTGGTGTCCTGCTGAGGCTGTGAAGCGATAGGGAAGGGAATCCAACTTAATGTAAGAAAGGAAAGTTTATGTTAGAAAAAGTGCAAGACAAGGTAATGTTCTCACTAGTTTTACTCATTGAGGAAGAAGAGGAGAGAACAATAAACATAACCAGTCTGGGGCTGGGATTGTAGCTCAGGTAGAGCGCTTGCCTAGCATGTGTGAGGCAGTGGATTAGATTCTCAGCACCACATATAAATAAATAAAATAAAGGTCCATTTACAACTAGAAAAAAATTATTAAAAACCCCATCTGTTAAGGGTAGAGTTAGTGGAATTTGAGAAATGAACTGATTCTCCCTCTTCACTCTTGGGGTGTTTGAATCAGGCTCACTTTGTTGCAATAATGGTTGGACGGCCTGAGGAATCATTCCTGTGCCTTAAAAAAGCCATGTGGGGCTGGGTGTGAGACAGAGGTGGAGGGATTGCAGAAAGCAATGTCCCAAGTTCCATCCCTGCACTGAAACAGCAATGACAATACAAACCAGTGGGGGTGCTTTCTCAAATGTTTTCTGTATATTCCTCTAAGTTATCTCTTAGAAGATTTAGTATTTTTTTTTCACATTTAGATTTGAAATCCTCTTGGAATTGATTTTTATATATGATATGAGGTAAGGACAAAGTTTCAGTTGTTTTCAAAAATTATTTTCCTACTGCTGTACAATGGTAACTTTGTCATACAATAAAGGCCTTTGGCAATAACTATTAAAATTGAACATACTCATGCCCTCTGGTTCACTAATGCCACTTCCAGATATATGCCTATCAGAAATGCATTTATATATGCACAAAAAGATTCAAGAATGGTTATAGCAGCTATTAAATTAGCTCTAAAATGGAAATGATTCAACTATTTATAAACCGTAGAATACACAAAGGAATTGGGTTATATTTGCTGTAAGTTGAATCTAGATTGTTCCCAAAGTCTTGGTCATCAGGTTGGTACTATTGGGAAGTGGTGGAAATTCTAAAATTCCGGACCTAGTGGGAGATCTTTCAGTCATTGAGGATGGAAATGAGGGAATTGGGGGACCCCTCATCTCTTCCTCCTCTTCTTTCTTTCACATTCAGCCATGAAGATTTCCTCTGCTATGCGCTCCTCCATGAGGTACTGTGCTACTATAGGCCCAAAACAATGGAGCCAAGCAGTCAAAGACCAAAGATTCCAGAACTCTCCGCCAAAATAAACCTTTCCTCTTTGTTAAGTTTATCAGCTCAGGTATTTTGTTATGGTAATGAAAAGCTGACTAAAACAATATTTGTGCAATAAAATAATACAAAAACTGAAAACCAGTGAGTTAAAGTTACACACAAAAACTGAAAAAATTCCCCACATATTTTTTTTTAAAGAGAGAGAGAGAGAGAATTTTATTATATATATATATATATAATAATTATTTTTTTTAGTTCTCGGCGGACACAACATCCTTGTTGGTATGTGGTGCTGAGGATTGAACCCGGGCCGCACGCATGCCAGGCGAGCATGCTACCGCTTGAGCCACATCCCCAGCCCGTCACCACATATTATTGAGTGAAATAAGCCCAAAGTAAGATGGCACCTTTGGGGAGCAGAGTAAATTAATGACTGGGAGGATCCCGCAGAGGGTTTCTGTGGTGTGTGCCACTAATGTTCTATTTTTTAAATGTGAGTGGTAATCACTTTGTGATAATTCACTGAGTGTACATTTATAGTGTTTTGCATTTTTTGTATGTATGTCATACATCAATCTTGAAATTATTTTTAAAAGTTGGATCTTATGTTGTATTCTTAAGAAAGTAAAATTGCAGAAAGGCATGATGAAGTTAGGACAGATCAAATGTGGAGGATCATTTGGTTTCAAATTATCTGTTGGGTTTCTTGAGTGAAGCATCAAAACATATGAGATATTTGATATACATGCAAAGCAATGTAGTGTATTTGCTAGAAGAGGAAAATAAGACTAGTAAGCTTTAAGCAAATCTCAAATATTTCTGGCCATAAAATGCACTTTATTTTATAAATGATTAAGAGAGAAACAACTGCTGCCAACTGGATATGAAATAATACCTTAACAATGGTCCCAAGTGATGCATGAATTGGTCATATCAGCTTCTTGTTCCTTTGGTTTCTATGATTTATTCCAAGGGATTTGGCAGTTTTTCCTGTCTTCAGTTGCCTTGTTTACTTGGCTTGTGATAGACCTGCTTTTGAATATACTTCAGGAACAAAATGGAGTACAGCTTCGTCTCATTGTGGGCCTCTTCCTTTCTTAGGCCTGTAAAGCTCTTGGTTGATTTTTTTTTTTTTTTTTTTAGAAGAACATTTAGAATTTTGGCAATTCCTCCAAAGTGAAATGTTTGCTTTATTACTCTTGATTCCCCCTGCTGCTCCGTTTTCCTGCCTTTCTGTGACCACAGTAACCTTTCATTACAATGAACAATCTTTTTTAAAAGATATTTTAAATGTCAATCAAACTCCTCAACAGTGACGCCAGTAAAACAGCTCTGGCCAAGCTCATGCTCGTGAGGGCAGTGACACAGCTGCTGCCTGGCCATCAGTGGCTGGAAGAGGCTCCTTGATTTCAGAGATGTTAAAATGAGACAAAATATGCATCTTAGAATTGATGAATCAGTATGTTGAAGGGAAAAGCAAAGTCAGAAAATTACTATTTACAGAGTTAGAGGAAGTCTTACATACTTGCATAATTTGGGCTGAAAATAAGCAGTGCTGTATTTGAAGGACCTAGAAGAAAAATCAGGGAATAGGTCAGATGAAAATAACATATACCATGCCTAAAATAAATATACTATGCTTATTGAGGTTGGTGTTCATTAACCTGATACAGAGAAGCACGGCCAGCCTCACTTTCCACTTGGAGGCAAGATGATCGATATCTTAGAACAGTGCAGTGCTGATAAATGTTTAGTAAAGATGCAGAGCTACATTTTTTTTTCCCCAGGGAGTCAGATTGTTTGTTTATTATGAACTTTTCCCAAAGAACTAGCTTAATATATATTTGTTATAAATTTTACTTATACAAAAGATGTCAGGCACTCATTTATAAACAGTTTTAAATATATAATATTCTATATATAGATATCTATATATCTATAGCCTGATGATTCTCACAGAATGCTTTTGTTGATTTTTCCTGGACTCTGTATCCATAACCAACTTAGGGTTGCAACTGAGAAACTAGTACATTTCTGACGTGAATGTTGGTTGATATATTTATTTACTTTCATTAATAAGATCAAAGTGAGTTAGGAAAGACACGTTGGAACTTCATTCACTGTCAATGACATAAGTGGCTTTGCAGTAGTGGATAATGGTTTTTTAATACTGGGAGGAATATTTCCTCAGTGTTTTTGTGTTATGAAAATGTAACAGCTATAGACATGACACATTTCTAAGTTTAGTCTATATTATTAACATTTCCTACCACTTCCTTAACTCTAGATAATCAACAAAATGATAAATCAAGCCCTGATTGTAGCAAGTTCTAATTGCTTTGTTGTAAATCTTCCCATCTTGGCCAGTTTCAAATTGGAGTTGGGAAGAGATGAGCAGGAGCACAGCATTGTACAGTGTTTTCATTGTACACATAGAAACAAGGGAGGTAAAAAACTTTAAAAGCATAGATGATAGTAAGATGCATTAATAATAATTAGAAAGGGATGACTCTTGAGTAATTATTATCTTGTTTTAATTAGTTATTTTTTTGCCATGCTGGGGAGCAACCCAGGCCTTATGCATGCTAGGCAAGCACTTTCCCACTTAGCTGTACTCCAGCCCTATCTTGATCTAGTGTGTTTAATTATAAGTTTATATTATTTAATTTTTCATAACAGCTGTTTAACAAATGCTCACAAAATTCCTGAAATTTTAACTATCAGCTCTTGTAAGCCTTTATGAATCAACATGCCTGTGTTTATATGCTTTAACATAGCACCATCTCTTTGAAGACATTTATAAAATGTCTTCCCTATGTATCAGGTACATATAAGCATTGAGGATAGAGGACTAGGCCTTGGATAAAGACATGATAAAACACTTAGATAGTGGAATCTACGCACCTGGAACACAGAATGAGGAGGCCATGTAGGGATCTGGGAAGATTTCTGAGATACTCTGTTAAATGAACAAAACTAAGTCACACAGGACTTTGTATACAATACCACCCTTTATGTAAAACATGAGGGAAGGTTAGAATTTTGGCATTTATAAAAAAACATTTTTAGTTGTAGGTGGACACAATATTTTTATTTTTTATTAATTATTAATTCAATTAATTTATTATTATTATTTTTATGTGGTGCTGAGGATCAAACCCAGTGTCTCACATGTGCAAAGAGAATGCTCTACCACTGAGCAAAACCCTAACCCCCTTGTGTGTGTTTTACTTGTTTAAAAAGACCCAGTCCTTATCATCATGAAGTTTATATTCTAGGCAGTATACAATAGTAAGTGCACAATTGATGAACAATGGATTTTGTTCTTGAAAAAATAGATATTCTAAAACCTTCACAACTCCCCTGAAATGGTAACAACCACCGTGGCAGAGAGGTCTGCCCGTTGTTCAAGGAAACCTCTTGCTCCCTTCTCAAGCGTAGAGTACAGGAAATGGCTTTGAGCAAAGGACCGTGTTTCCCAACCTTCCTCACATGTCAGGCAACATGACTGAGTTCTGGCAGAGGAAATGTGGGCAGCAGTGATGCAACCACTTCTAGTCCCAACAATAGAGACCTCCGGGGTGGGGGGGTCCGTGGGCTCCCTCTTCCCCTGCCTCTTCAGGCTGGATGTCAATGTCCAGAATTTTCCTGAATGACTGGGGAGTGAAGCTCCTTCCACCCTCTCCCTGCTATTGCCCAGTGGGCCTCTTATGGGAAATGGAATTCTATTGCGTTTAGCCAGTGGGTCACAGCTATTGCAGATGGTGTTGCCTTTGTTGATGCACCATTCCAGTATACAATTCTCTCAGGGTAAAATGTTGATTCCTTCAGACTCTTTAATAATTTATCTCCTTTGATAACCATTTTTTTTGTACTGGCTGGAGCACCCACTGGAAGAGTTTTACAAATTGCTTTTTTATATTTTCACCTAATGCTATGGTATTATGATCATTCAAAACACAAAGCTCTGCCACAAGCATATGTGATATCTCACTGTGCAAGTGATCCAAAGTTTCTATTTTATTGCAAGAACTGTATTTTCTTAGACCTTTTAACTTCTGTCTCTAGTGTTAACAGCTGCCAGCTTTCCTCTTCTCTCTTCTTTGTAAAATTTTATTTTATTATGAGATGCATAATACATATAGAAGAGTGCACAAAACAGAGAATAGAGTTTTCAAGAAAAAGTGCAAAATAGACTTGGTAATCACTGCACAAGTCAAGAAACAGAACATTATCCAGCCCCCAAGAAGCCCTTAAGTTGTCCCTTCCCAGTTACAATTTCTTTCCTTCCTCCACAGAGGTAGCCATATCCTGACCTTTTGTGATAATGATTTTCTTGCTTTTAGTTATAATTTTTACTACCAATGTATGATCCATAAGTTATATAATGTAGTGCATCTGTTTTGGAACTTTATGTGAAGGGTGTAATCGACTTTATTTATTTTATGTCTAGTTTCTGTGTTCAACATGTTCATGAGACTCATTCACGTTGCTTTGTGTAGCTTTGGTATATTTTCATAGTGTTTATTCTTTCTGTGACTATACTCCATTTCACTTATGCATTCTGCTGTTGAAGGGCATTTGTTTATTGTGAACATCACTTTTTAAAATATATATATATATATATATATATATATGCTGTAGATGGCACAATACCTTTATTTCTATGTGGTGCTGAGGATCAAACCCAGTACCTCACACATGCAAGGCAAGTGCTCTACCACTGAGCCACAACCCCAGCACCCCTGCCATGATCATTGCTTTTTATGACCCCTTTTCCTCATTTATCCCCATGTTGTGGCACATGCATTAGGATGTGGAATATTCCTATCTTTGCTTTTGCCAGATAATGCAATAGTGTTTTACAAATGGTTGTGCCTCTCTGTGTGCCCACCAGTGGTAGATGAAAGTTCCCCTTGTTCTTCATCTATACCAACATTTGGTGTTGTTGGACTTGAAGTTTTTGTGTCAACCTGGTAGGCATTTCACTATGTTATTGCTTTGACATTTTTTATGATTATTAAAGTTGAATATCTCTTTATAAGTTTATTAACTATTGGATTTACTTTTCTGTGTGGTGCCTATTTAAGTATTTTCCCCACATTTTTATTGGTGCATTATAGGTGTATATAATGATGGGCTTTGTTGTTACATATTAGTACATACATACAATATAACAATATAATTTGGCCAATGTCTTCCCAGCACTTCCCCCTTCATCCTGGTTTCCCAGTCCTTGGTCCCTTTCCTCTACTGATCTCTCTTTGGTTTTCATGAGACCTGCCCCACCTTTCTTTTCCTTCTTCCTAGCTTCTGTATATGAGAACAAACATATAACTCTTAATCTACTGAGCTTGAGTTATTTCATTTAACATAATGGGTCTCTACTTCCTTTCATTTTCCTGAAAACAACATAATTTCATTTTTCTTTATGGCTGAATAAAATTTCATTGTGTATATATACCACATTTTATTTATCCATTCATCCATTGATGGACACCTAAGCTGGTTTCATAAGTTCACTATTGTGAATTGTGCTGCTACAAACATGGGCATGCATATATCACTAATAATTCTAATAATATGCATATATCACTAATTCTTAGGATAAATACCCAGGAGTGGTATGGCTGGGTCAAATGGTGGTTCCATGCCTAGTCTTTGGAGGAACCTCCATACTGATTCCCATAGTGTTTGTTTAATTGACAATCCCCTCAACAGTGTAAAATGTTCTTTTTTCTCCATACCCTTTCCAGAATTTATTAATATTTGTATTCTTGATGACTGTCATTATGACTAGTGTGAGATGAAATCTCAGTGTAGTTTTTTTTTTTGTTTTTTTTTTTGTTTGTTTGTTTTGTTTTTTTTTCTATTTTCTTTTCTTTTTTTTATTGGTTGTTCACAACATTACTCAGTGTAGTTTTGATTTGCATTTCCTTAATTGATACTGATATTGAACATTTTTTCATGTATTTTTTGGCCATTTGTATTCCTTCTTTTGAGAAGTGTCTGTTTAATTCATTTGCCCATTTATTAATTGGGTCATTTGACTTTTTGGTGTAAAGTTTTTTTAGTTGTCTAAATCTTCTAGATGCTAATTCTTTGTCAGAGGAGTAGCTAGCAAAGATTTTCTCCCATTCTATAGGTTATCTCTTTACATTCCTAATTGTTTCCTTTGCTGTACAGAAGCTTTTTAATGTGATACTATCCCATTTATTAGCACTTCTTTGCCCATTTTTAATATTTGTTTTAATTATGATTGCAGGAGTCTTAATCCTAGACCTGGGCCTGATCTATGCTTTTTAAACATGCTCCCTACTTTTTTTTTTCTCTCCAAGAAAAATTTTTAATTGATTTTTAAAAAATGACAGTGGAATGCATTCCAATTCTTATTACACATATATACCACAATTTTTCATACCTCTGTTTATATATAAAGTATGTTAACATTAATTCGTGTCTTCATACCTGTACTTTGGATAGTGATGTCAATCACATTCCACCATCCTTGCTAATCCCCTGCCTCCTCCCTTCCCCTCCCACCCCTCTTCTCTATCTAAAACTCATCTATTCCTCCCATGCTCCCTCTCCCTACCCCACTATGTGTGTTCCCTACTTTATACCTTGTCTTTTTACTCTCTTTATGGTATCTTTTGGAAAACAGACACTCTTAATTTTATCTGGTTTGAATTTACCTTTTTCTTTATAAACAGTGCTTTTTGTGTTTTATTTAAGAAATTCTTTTTCCTGAGGTTATGAAGTTATTTTCCAGTATTATAGTATAAAATTGTATAGTTCTGATTTTCACATTTAGATCTTTATTTTGCCTAGAACTAGGGTTCTCATCTCATTGTTTTTCATGTGGTTACCCACTTTCCCCAGCACTTTTACTGAAAAAATCTGTCATTTCCCTACTGATCTGCAATGTCACGTGACATCACACATCAAGGATTTATACACGTGGGAGTCTACTTCTGATATTTCCATCCTATTCCATTGGCCTGTTTGCCTAACTCTGTGCCGAAATCATGCTATTTCCCATTTCAGTGTTCTTTTCGTCATTCAACACATTTATTTTGGTTGCCTAATAGACATCATTGTAAGTATGGAGGATGAAGCTGTCGATAAAGCAAGCACAAATCTCTGCCCTCCTGGAGTTTATGTTCTAATAGGCGAGTCAGACAACAATCAAGTTAAAGATCTAAAATACCTAGATGTTAGATAATGATACTTGCTAAGGAGAAAAAGAAAGGGAAGTGGAATAAGTAGTGCTGGAGGTGGGGCTGAAATTTTGGAAAGGATAGCTGGGAAAAGCCCTGTTGAGAAGGAGATTCTAGTGATAATATCTGAAGATAACAACTGAGCAAGCACCACATGGCTCACAGGAGAAAAAGATCTCTATGAAGAAGCTTTGCAAGTGTAAAATCCAGGAGGCTGGACTATCTCGGATGCGTGAGGAATGGGTGCAGCGGGCCAGGAGCATGCGCAGTGTGAGAAGTGCAATGAAGTCGAGTTAACGCACCTGTCATCCCCAATAAGGATCCCAATAAGGAGCCCTCTGAATGTTGAGTTGAGAAAAGACTGGAGAGGGGCCAGCATATGAAATATATCAACCAAGAGACTCTTCAAACAAGTCAGTTGAAAGATAATAATGACTTGAATGACAGTGTGTGTGTGTTGGGGGGGGGGGCATGCCAGAGTTGATTCTGGATTTGCTGACAGATAGGTTGTGAGGTTTGAGGAAAAAACAGCAGTCAAATATGACTCCCTGGTTTCTTCTTAAAAACATTATCCATAAAAGAGCTTAGTTTTTATTATTTGATGAGCATTACTATGCACAGAATGCTGACAAACAGAACAGGAACTTCACTGTGAAGCAGGTGCTGAGCCAAGCTCATGCACCATTCACCACTTCCATTTGTAAGAGTCAAAGACTTCTTCAGGGAGACTGAATCCAAACTGGTCATTTTGAAGGACAGATGTGAGTTTGCCAGATGAGCCCTAGGCATTTCAAGCATGGCACTGCATGGGTAAAGGTCTAGATGGGTGAAATGGTATGGGGCAAACATTCCCAAACT